ACTTTTTCAGCAATTATATACGATCCATGGACTTAAAAATAACGAGTCTTTTCCCATATTTTATTGTTGCCTAACATCCAAGTCAAAGAATGAGTACAAAATCCTGTTTCAAAAAATAGAGACAATATGCAACTATCCATTATTTCACAAAAATGTAGTTATAATGGGTGATTTTGAAATTGTGTTTTTTAAGGATATTTTCGGCGACGAAGTGATAGTGAAGTGTTGTCATTTCCATTTGTGTCAATCTATTTATCGAAGAGTAATAACACTCGGACTTTCAAATCGCTTTAAAAATGGCGACATATTTAAAACAATAGTTAAAATGTTGATGGCGCTTGCTTATCTTCCAGTTAATATGATTAAAAACGCATTCAACAAAATAAAAGATTATGGAATGCATGATGATGATGTGAAACAAATATTAAATTACTTTGAAGCAAATTATATATATGGAGTATTCAAAATGAAATATTGGTCAGTATTTGGTCTTTCAGAAAGAACCAACAATCGGGCAGAGAGCTTTCATTCTTCTCTAAACAGATTTGTTTGTATCCCACATCCCCCAATACACAAATTTTTAGATAAATTGTTTTCATTCCAAAAATCTATAGATTTGCATTTTTATTTGTTTGAAAGAGAATTGGAAAAGACTCGACAAAAATTACAAACGATAGAAAAAAACGTTACTTTATCAGAACTTCAAAAAGAGTTGTTTGGAGAAAACAAAATTGATGTTATTATTTTTTTAGAAAAATGTACAAAATTACTTTCAAAAAAGAAAATGCAAATATACTTTGGTTTGGACTCTGAATGTGCAAAAATTGAAGTTGAACAAGAAAATGATTTGATAACAAACATGCAAATTTTGGGGTATTTAAATGAAACAGATAATAATGAAAGTGTTTATTCAGATGAAACTAATTGTGTTTTATTTGAGGAGAAAATTGAAGTCGATAAAGAAAACCAAAATGTTGATATGGAAATGGAAGAAAATGAAGATGCTCAATCAATTATTAACAGTAAAAGAACGATGGTTAATAAAAAAACAAAAAGAAATATCTAAAAAAGAAAAAGAAAAAATTAACAACGAAAAAACAAAGAAAAAGTAAGTGATTATGAGAAAGCGAAAAAAATAAAACGTGCAATGAAAAAATACAAAAAATAAATAAGTTTTGTGTAATTATTGTATTAATTGTTAAAAGATATTAATATATATATAGTTTTTTATTTTTTGTAAATTTTATTTTTCTATATTTTTATATTTCAAATGTTTTTACATTTTGTTGAATTTTTATTGAAGAAAATGAGGCAAAAAATAAAAAGGCGAAAAATAAGAAGGCGAAATTAATCCGACTCGTTAAAATATAGTTATGTATTAGTTGGAAGTTATTATAAAGGTACTAGTGTATAAAATATAAACGCTTCTAATTTTTATTTAATTTTTTACTTGGTTTTTTTTTGTTTTGTCCCAAAAGTTATTAATGTTGATATTGTCTTCTGGATTGTAAAGAAGAAAACCATCTATCAAACATTTTTGTGAAATATTATATACAATTATTTTTGTAAAACTATGTTTCACAACAATAATGAAATTTTGTGAGTTCATTTTATGTAACTTCTTTATAAAGTAAAAAATTATAATTATCATCATTAAACAATGATAATCGGGTTAAATAAATATATAAAACAATATGGTATATTTTAAATACAAAGTTGGTTATAATCAATTACCAAGCAATGCCACACAATACACAAAAATAGTAATTGTTTGTTTTAATAAAGTTGAAATGTAACAATAAATGCAATTTTGGATTTACAAATACACATTTATATTTAAATTAATATGATTTGGACTTTATTATATAATATAATAATATAATTCGATTAATCATAGTCTAATACTTTTATTGATTTATTATAGTTAAATAATATATAAACCGTAATTTTTGAAAATCAGTGGTAATTCAATTCAAAAGGACAAATTATATGGAAGGTTTTTTTGAAGACAAAATAATCCTCTTTTTATTTATTATTTACAAAACTAAACTGTCAGATATAAATTATTTGTAAATATACGACAATTACATACATAAGCTAACTTGTTGATCTTGAAATTAAAAAATAAAGTAGTAATTTAATTGTTAATTTTCAAAAATAATTAATAGTATATAGTTTGATTCAAAAATCGGAATAAAAAAGCGTCTGATTTTTTATCTTATTTTCAATTTTTTAAAAAAATTAAGAAACTTGTTTTATAAAAAACTATAAAACGTTTTCTTAATTGTTTTATACAAAAACTAAACGATAATAATAGTAAATAAAATCATTTTAAAGGTATAGACAAATATTTTTTTGACATTTAAACAAACATGATTTAAAAAAATCTACAAGGTTATTAACTAAACGTAGTGGCATTGAGTTCCATACCTTTTGTGCTTTATCAAATATGTCTTCTTGTTTCATCAAAGGGGTTAATACCATACGTTTTTTATAACCCCCACATATTTTCAATGGGATTTAAATCTGGACTGCTTCCTGGCCAGTCGTGAAGATATGAAAAATTGTTTTCTCCAAAGAACTCACGAGTTGATTTGGCGTTATGACAAGGAGCATGGTCTTGAACAAATTGATAATTTTTGCCTCCTTTCTTTTTTATTTGATCTAATAATAAATTGTCAGTGAGCATTTTTTGATAATTGTAAGAGTTTATGTTAAGAGGACACCTGACCAATTGACTCTTATAATTGTTACCAATTATACCAAAAGCCATCACACTTGCAGATTTCTTTGGAAAAAAAGAAAAGTATTTTTTGTTCACACGCCCCCTTTCCCTCCCTATTGGACAATTTTTATATGTGCTATAAGAAAAACTCTTTTCATCTGAAAAAAATAGTTTTGTTTTTCTTTTTCTTTTAAACGTCAAGTTGTGTTCTCTTTCATTGTTTATTTGTTAATTGAGACAACACAAATCGACGACGTTGCATTATATTCCTCTTTGTTAAATAAATAGTTTGTAGTGGTTTTGAAAATACATATTTGTGAGATTTTCTTATTCTGAGAATCGTTGACGATGAAACTGATATGTGTTTGGTTTTCAGTACAGAACGGGCACACATTTTGTAACTTTCATGAATTTTATTGCAATTTTTACGCATGACATATTCTTCAATTGCATTGTCAGTCTTGGGTCTTCCCCTTTTTTT